ACCAGGATTCCTTTTATATTTATAGGCTTCATGTGTGAGGTTCATGTTAAAGCACGATGGGTGTAATCCTGCAGACAAGGGGTCCTCATTCTAACTCATAATCCTCTTTTGTGGTTTCAAGGTGATCTCTAGGCTTTCGTTTGGACCGATGGGTCTTCCTTTGGTTTGGGCTGATGGGTCATCCTCTTTCTGAGAGAGTCAGCCCGGTTCCTGGTAAACCACTGCTGCTCTCTACTTGGGACCACCCTGCATTGGAGCTGCTGCTGAAGCCCACTGTGCCACTGCCCTGGGCTTTCCCAGGCTTCTGGACACAAACACAGAGTCCCTATAGGCTCCACTGCTATTCTTACAATAATCATCTCCAATGGGCTGGGAGGGGGGGTCTGTGAGGACATCCTTGCTTTCCTTGACATTCTCTGGGCTTCAGCCACTTTAGAGATAGGACCACCATGAACCCTCACCTGCCCAACATGCTCCTGTCTCTGGCCTCTCTCGGGCCTCTACGGTGGCTGTGCCACTACGGTGACACCCACCTCCTGTAGGTGCAGGAGGCCCCTTTCTCCAGGGACCATTACATCGAATTGCATTATGAACAACAAAATGAAAGCAGGATTTTCTAAGTTCCACTTTTACTTGAGTTACAATAGGAAGCTTTTGCTCATTAAGAAGCAATCTGAGAGAACAATGAGGCTGTCTTGATGAACACAGAAACCAAAGCCAGGGCTCCGGTGGACAGCTGCAGCCTTATGTAGGCCTTGGCATCCAAAGGATTTCCCTCTGATGCTTTGGGGCATCGTTTCAGGCAATCCTGTTTCACAAGGATAAGAACTGGCAAATGGCGAGAGCTTTCCAAGAAGCCTTCGTGCCACATCAGGACAGTCTCCAATTACAGTGAAGAGGAGTACCAAGGACACTTTGATTCACAGTTGACTTTCCAACAATATCCATGAACAGGAGGGCAGGGCTACTTGTTTTTAATCACAAATATGCAGGCCCGACAGGGGTACCCAGAGCTCAAAATAAGCACCAAGCTAGGCAAGTCATCTATTATATCCAATCTTAAGATCAGACATTTGAGATGTTAAAGCATCTATTTGGATCCCAAAGCTTCCACACAAGTTTGAGAAATTAGTTACAAAGCCATCAATCAGCCAGGCCAAGGCCCTCGACCTTCCCCTACCAACCCTAGCACGCTTCAGTGCCTCCAGTCTGACAATTCCCAGAAGAGAGTCCACATTAGACAGGAGTCAAGATTCTGAGAGGGCACCAGTCTCACCCAGTACCAGCCTCAGGTGCCCCTGCTATGCTGCTCCCAAGGGTCTGTTTCATGGAGGCTGCACACATATGCCTTAGCTCCCAGCAAAGCCCAGCACATTCATCAGTCCTGAGCTGCCCATTACTTCCCAGTATGCCAACCAAGAGAGCCCAGCGGGTCTGGGAGATGAAGAACTCTCTCAAACCGTATCACATCTTGCCCTATAATCTCAGAGACTCAATGGCAGTGCTGTTATGTTTGAGGTGTTTTGCTTTGGGAACAATGCTGATCACAATGATAATGATCATAGTAATGATCACAATGGCGGTTAGGTGATGTTTCTTATCTTATTGTTTGATAGGTATTTTGCTTAGAACTCTCTCTTTCCGTCTTCACACCAACCCTATAAAGTATGTACTTTTTCTTCTGATTTTGCTATGAGGAAAGTAAGACTTTAGAAAGTTGTCTTGTCCAAGAAAGCCTTGCTAGGAGAGTAGCAGAGATACAGCTTGAACTCAGATCTTGAAGTCAACTTATTTGAAAGATGCATCGGGGTACACTGACCAGGCCTCTCTGACTGAGAAAACCAACCGGGACCGCACCTGGTATGCTAAGTAGTTAAAGGCCAGCACAGGTGTTCTTTGCAGAAAAACTCATAAGCGGAAATCCTACAGTGCTCTTCTCTGCCATGACCTCCAGCAACAGACAAAGCACCTTGGGGGGAATGGTTCTATCTTTGCAGTAAGCAACCCCTCGCCCCCATTCATGACCCCACTGTTGGGAAAATAATTGTATCAGCTTATTTTGATTCTAGGTCTTTAACCTAGACACAGTTAAAGACCAAGACCTCTGGCTTAGAAACACCACCCCACGCAGACGCATCCTGTGCCAAGTACCTGGAACACTTGGAGAACAGCTACTCGGAGATAGGTGTGGCTTCTGCTCCCCTAAAGTTTAGCCTATTGGAGATAGTGTAGTAGGACAATGGTGGTGGCTCACTCGGGTCTTATGGCCTTGTCTCCAGGGGACAGAAGCAGATTCCCAAGTGGTTCAATTTTCCATTGGACCCGCTTCTGCTGCTTGCATTAGTGTCTGAAACCTGGGACATGGGCTTGAAGATGCCCACGGTCACATTTACCTGTTGACCAAAGAGCTATCTTGATAAAGAGAATGTCTCTTACCGGGAAAATCTAGAGCCTTTCTGGCTACTTATACTTTTAAAAAATGGAGTCCCTGGGTGGCACAAACGGCTAAGTGCTTGACTGCTAATCATAAAGGTTAATAGTTTGACTCCATCCTGCGTGGCCTCGGAAGAAAATCATGGCCATCTGCTTCTACCAGGCAATAGCCATAGAGACCCAATTGAGCACAACTCTTCTCTGACACACATGGGCACCATGAGTGGAAGTCAACTTGATAGCATATGGTTTGGTTAAGCTTATAGGACAGTGATTCTCTACCTTCCTCAGGCCGCAGCCCTTTCATACAGCTCCTCATGTGGTGGTGACCCCCAACCGTAAAATTACTTTCGTTGCTACTTCATCACTGTCATTTTGCTACTGTGATGAACCGTCATGTAAATATCTGATAAGCAGGATGTATTTTCATCGTTACAAATGGAACATTATTAAAACATAATGATTAATCACAAAAGCAATATGTAATTATGTATTGTGAAATACTTATTTCTAATGTCAAATAAATGAAATTTTGTCTTGAAGCAGGGTGTAGCACTGGTAACAGTCTTCACGCCGGGTACTAATATGTGGGTGTACCTGCATGTGGGCGGACCCACCTGGAGACAGAGAGAGGAGTGGTATCTCGGTTATTAAGACCATCGGAAATGTGTGTTTTCCGATGGTCTTAGGTGACCCCTGTGAAAGGGTTGTTCGATCCCCAAAGGGGTTGTGACCCACAGGTTGAGAACCACTGTTATAAGAGAACCTGATGCAATGTGAACCTTTTGTTTGGAAAATGTTCAGAAGAACAGCAACCAAAATACACTCTGAATTCACTGTGCTTCCAGAAGTACAGGTGGTAAGTAAACTGGGTGGATTTCTCATGTGTTATTTAAATGTAGCCCCTAAAACAGATCCAGGCTGTTTCCTAGTTGTGCTGTTGTGGGCTGAAGGTAATCCCATTGCTGCCTTCTGTCAGTGGGGAAGATAACACCAGGGCTGTACAAGAAGGCAGCAGGTAGCCCAGGTAACTTTGCTGCCTCTTCTCCACTGCACAGAAGGGACGGCCTGAAGAAAACACTGTGTCAGAGCTCAAGGAAAGGCAGTCTGGGTCAGCCCAGTCCAAGCATCCAACAGTGGACCAGAACTGTAGAACCCTTTATCTTGGTTCCGTGGCATGGGCTCGGCTCAGGGTTAAATTGCTCAGCTCGCTTTGGTTTGGCTGAAGTGCCACAGCTGCTAGGACTTGTAGTGCTAGCCACACTGCTGATTGAATGCTGCACAGTGGAAGGGTATTCTGCATGAAAATAGGCAATATTTAAAAGGCTGAAGCCAGAGAGAATACAAAGAGAAGTCTACTTTCCTTTAACGTCATTATTTTATAGTAATGTCTCAGCTCAAAGACCAGGTTCAAATTATTCAGTCCTCCAGCTGTTGATCTTTAGCTACTACCTCTTTTTCTGGTCTTAGTAGTAAACTCTATCCCTAAGCAACCTGGCTGGTTCAGATACCCCAAGCAATCATGGAGCTTTCCCCTCTTAGGCCTTTGCTCAATTGTTTCAAGGACCTTATGATTAGCTGTACCATGCTAGCACTTATTCCTGTACTTCATGGCCCTGATACAAGGCCTCCTTCTTGGCAATACTGTCCTTGAATCTACCAGCAGTGCAATATTCTTCTATCTCCTTGCACTCTTACAGCATTTACACTCTTCCTCTCTTAATCATTACACTGTCTTCCTCTCTTAATCACATTATGTCTTGTAGTGTCCTATCTACTTTATCAATTTGAGGGGTCCTTGAGGAGAGATGCTGCCATTCTCATTCACAGTGCCCAGGACATTCTGCTTTGTGCATGGGAAACTAGGCATGCAATGCTCATTTCCAGCATGACTGATAGTGCCTGTAGGCTCTCTCCATGCCAAGAGCCTTGCTTACAGACACAACAGGAGATTCTATAGCAACATAATATCAGTGCTTATTGTCTTCTTCTACCAAGTCTGAAGGTGGAGGGATGAGGTCTCGGGGATTCATCCTGGCCACCAGACAGACATCATAGCTATCATGCATGAGGACATTGATGGCTACAACATTCCACTGGTTTTCCCATGGGTCTAGCTCCAAGATTTCTTTGGAGATAATCTCATGGCGATCTGGAAAACAGAAAAAAGAGAGAGACACAAAATACCATGAGATTTTAAATCCAAAGGTCATCATCACTGTATTGAATAATTTCTTCAAAAGGCATTATGGATAGAAGTCAAGACGGCACTCATGTTGTTAGACCAGAAAATTAAAAGCTATGGAGATCAATACTGGGAGACTGATGCTAAAAATAGATTCCGTGTACGAGGGTCTGGTTCAGACCGCCCCCTGAGATTTTCACGCATGAAGTGAGTTGAGAACTTGCTGAAATGCTCTAAGTTCACAGTATCTGCCCACAGGCTCCACTAACCCCTCACCAGATCCAACAGGGCAGTGTCCACTACCCCATCCTGCACCCAAGAACCAAGTCCCACAGCGAGCAATAATTTCCCCAGGTTGCTGTCTAAAAGTAGTCAGAACCCCAGGTTCATGGAGAACCTCTGAGAACTAGCCACAAGATCTCACACTAGACATCCCCTCTCTGCTATCTGCCCTGCTCCTGCAGTCTTGGGCTTTGCAGCTTTCCTCCCCAGCCAGGAACGGAGTGATCACATCAGCCATCCCCTCTCCCCAGTTCCACAACTTCCAGTGTGGGTAACCTTAGATAATTAGACACTAATTTGCAGCGATTAAAGAGCTGCTGGGATATTTACCCAGTTCCCCAGAGCACAACCTGCAATGCTGTGCAGCACGGGAATGACACAGAAGTGCAGCCAGGAGACAATTCAGATCCTGTCAGCCTCAAACCCACTCTGCTACTCTGGCCTCCCCTTCCCTGGGGGACAGCATGGCACAGCCCTGATACCAGGGCACCCCCACAAGCCCATTATAGAAAGGGAAAGGAAAAAAAAATTTAAACACTTTCAATTCTAGGCTGTGTTCCTTTGTGTAACTTTGAGTGTAAGCCACTAGAACTCTATCCACTAGCATAGCATTAATATAACAAGACAGCCAGAATTCTAAACCCCAGAGCACAACCTAGACTTTTAACATAACAAAACAAGAATAGCCAACAGGTTCTAATAGCCACAGCAAAAGCCAAAAACTGGCTCTACCAGTTTTGAGCTCCACAGAGAGTTTTTAAAAGGTTGGAAAGTGTGGCCAGACAGTCTAGACCAAGCCTGAGTCGCAGCACCTCGCATACACAGCAGCCCAACCCACCATAATAGTAGGCCACAGGTCGCCCCCAAATCCACACTTACCAGTCACACAGAGAAAGAGCTCAGGGCGACTCGGTCTCATAGGAACATGGCCCCCAGTTCTTTCAAAAAGACATGCAGACAACAATATACCTCAACAACCTCAACGAGGAAACAAACAAACAAAAAAACCAAAATGCAACAGTGGAAGAAATCCTAAACCTAAAGATGCTATAGAAGAAACAGACGTTAATCTGCAACAAAAAGAAATCTTCAGAATGCTGCTTGGAGTAATACAGGAATGAAGGAAGCACACAGAATAAGGATGCAATCATAGAGGAGATAAATCCACGATAGAGGGGATGAATTCCACACACCAATAGGAATTACAGGAATCAATGGATGAGGTAACAGAAGCAAAACACAAGATCACAGACCTCACCAACAGACTAGAAGAGGCAGAGAATCATACCAGCAAGCTTGAGAACAATCAGACAGCTTCAACAAATGGGAAAGACAGTCAAACAAGATAATCAAAGAGGTGGAAGAAAACCTGAGAACAATGACAGATGCTATGAATAGGCACAATATTTGAATAATGGGTCTACCAGAACAAAACACAACGAAGAAGTCAACCTAAATTAGCGAGGAAATTCCTGGAAGCAAATTTCCCCACCTTAATGAATGAGAATTAGACATTCATACAGGAAGAAGAGAGGACACTAATTAAATTAAACCCCAGGAAAAACCTGCCAAGACACAGAATAGTTCAATTATCCAACTTCAAGGAAAAAGAGAAAATTTTAAGATCAGCAAGAGAAAAAAACCAGTCACATACAATAGTGCTCAGGTAAGAATATGCTCAAACCTATCAGCAGACACCATGAGGAGGAGGAGAGAGTGGAATAACATCTTCCAAAAGTTAAGAAAAGAAAAGCCAACCCGAGAATCCTCTCCCCTGCCAAATTATTAAGAAAGATGGTTGAGTAAGAGTCTTCCCAAACAAGGGAAAACTCAAAGAATATACCCTAAGACACCCAACCCTGAGGAAAATCCTTTCTGATTCACGGTGGTCAGAAGACCAACATCCACCACGCACAAGCAGGAGACTGCCATATGGTGCAACTCCATCCAGTAGTCTACACACTGAAAACCATTACCAAGATAACATTGCCTCAGTAGGAAAAGAAGGCAAGAATGAATCCCACCCACCCACCTACCCCAGGACCCCTTAAGGCAGTTATTGCTTGTCTCCACAGGAAAGGGAGAGACGGACCAGAACCCATCCAGAGCACCAAGACTTGAGGGCAACATACTGGCATGGAGCAGCAAGCTAACAGAGAGGATGACGGGACGGGGCCCACGCTGAGCTAGGTTGATTCCCCTCCCCAGAAGAATGTAATACAGAGGGCAGCACTGAAGATATAGCCAGGGGAGACTGGCAGGGCTGTCCAGATCACACGGGTGCAAAATAAGAGGGAAAGAGAGAGAGTGGACCACATCATGGTCCACCAAGCCCCAGAGGCAACATCCCTGCTTGGAGCAGCCAATGCACAGAGAGGACTGTAGTCCTGGCCTCACCACTAGACATGATAGTCCCTTAATGACCCATAGCACTTCAGGGGAGAGCACTGGAGACACTGTGTGGAAAGTGTGCCTGACCTACCTCGTGGAGTGGTAGTGGAGTGAAATGGGAAGGGAGTGCAATAGGACAGCAAGGGGAGCTAAGTAACCAAGTCCCAGAGGAATCCTGAAAATAGACTCCTGACCCGGGGGATAGGGCTTAGCACCTCACCAGGCCCAACTGGAACACACTCATAAGGGTCAGCAGACAGACCTGGAACTATCTATTGGGTTTGTTTTTTTTTTCTTTCACCCTGTGTCTATCTATAGAAGATAGATAGGACAAACAATGTCGAGGAGAAAACAATGGGATAAGAGATCCCAGGGGGACATGGGAGAGGACAGGGGAGCAGGGAGCCAACAAACTCAGGGATAATGAACAATAGATCTAAAAATGATGGTGAGGAGTCCTGGTGGTGTTTGATCAAGTGCAATGTATCCAAGAGGAATTACTGAGAGCCAAATGCAGGGCAAACATGCTAGTGGGACATGAAAAAGGTGAAAGACAATCAAGGAAAGAAGTAGGGAACAGAAGCTATTTATGGAAGTATAGCTATAGGCATGTATATATGAATATATTAATTTATAATGAAAAGGATAGAGGCCAATGTGCATGTGTTTATATTATACGTTAAGTATTAAGATAGACAGACTTTGGGCCTCTACTCAAGGCTTCCTTAAATACAAGAACACTTTGTTCTAATAACCTGGCACTCTTTGATATTCACCTTCCCAACACGATCACTGGAGACAAAATGGGTGCATAAGCAAATGTGGTGAAAAACGAGGATAGTGCCTGGCTATCAAAAGATACAGGGTCTGGGGTCTTAAAGGCTTGAAGTTAAACAAGCAGCTATCTAGTAATGAAGCAAATAAGCCCACATGGAAGAAGCACACCAGCCTGTGTGATCATGAGTTGTTGACAGGACCAGGTACCAAAAGATCCAAAACAAACAATTATATCAATGCATAAGAGGGGGGTTGGAGTGGAGACCCAAGGCCCATCTGTAGACAATTTGACACTCCCCCCCCCAAGCATTATGGGTATAAGGTGGTATCTCAATGTTGTTTTAATTTACATCCCCTGGATGGCTAGTGATCGTGAGCAGTTTTTCATGCATTTGTTAGCCATCTGTACGTCACTTTGTTTTTGTTGTTGGGTTTTTGTGTTGTTGTTTTTTTGTACATCACTTTGGTGAACTGTCTGCTCATGTCTTTTTCCCACTTCCTAACTGGGTCACTGGCAAAGACAGACTTAGAGGAAGCGAGATACAGTCATTTTTGGCAATCCAGCAGAGGACAGTGAAGATAAATACCCTGATTCTACTTTCCTGTCACTTATCAATTTCATGTTTTTATCCTTCACCAAATAAATTCAACGAGAAGTCAAAGGGGAAGCAAACTCATGAATGCAGCTCAGACATTGTAGTATTAAATTAAAAAAATAAAAATGATGCTGAGGGAGAGTGAGGGGCCCAGCCCCCACCCGCTGCTACTCCTACGAGTTTAGTAATACTACTTCTGGGTTCAGTAATGCACAATTGTACGGTTGAGATATATAAGCATTATATTAAAGTCATCAAGAGCATGAGAGATAATACAATAATACAGTCAGGCATGATACATAGCAACATTGCTCACCTCAGCCCAGCTTGGTGGTCCACATGGAGAGAGGGGGAAGGGAAGGAGAGGAAGGGAACAAGGGAGAGGGGAGTGACCAGGGAGTGAGCAGCAAGGAGCTCAGAGTCAGAGTCAGAGAGGGAAGTTCCGCTGACTCACACCTATATACCTTTTGGGGGCAATCCAGCCCACTAATTACAGGTAAAGACATACGTCACAGGAAGGGGCTGCACTATAGGTTACACAGCAATGAAAGGGTGGTCTCTGGGTCTCCATAGGAACATTATCAGTAGGGTGTAAACCCCTCCTACAGGAGCCTGTCCATTGTCCCCAGAGGCAGGGAGCAGGCCCACCCCTGTGGAGGGATGAGACAGCAGTCTGGCAACTGATTCCCTCAGGGGAGGGAATGCCTGCACATCTGACCTCCTCCCACAAGACATGTCTGCCCGGATGGGCACAAAACACACAAGGCAGGGAAAGGATGCATGTGGAAGGCAAAATGGTTGCTCTCCAGCCTACACGCCCATTATACAATTTTATGTTAAATAAAGGAGAAAATGTTTGTAAGTGTGCCCAGACAGTTCCTGGAAGATGAAAGTCAATTTTTGAAATGGTTCGCCTATGCT